CGGGGGGCCCCGCGGGCATCCCCCGGTCCTGGCGCCGTGCCCCCCCCAACGTCGTCCCCTCTGTGCCCGCAGCATCCGCCTGATCTCGTTGGCCGCGCAGAAATTCATCTCTGATATCGCCAACGATGCGCTGCAGCACTGCAAGATGAAGGGGACGGCCTCGGGGAGCTCCCGCAATAAGAGCAAGGTGGGGGGGAGGGCCTGGGGGTGAACATGGGGTGGGTGCTGTGGGGTGGCCTGGTCTGCAAAGGAGCACAGCGCTCATCCAGCTCCAAGCCCTGCTGTGTGCAGGTCACCAACCAGCAGCCCAGGCTGCCCAGAGCCACATCCAGCCTGGCCTTGAATGCCTGCAGGGATGGATGGGGCATCCACAGCCTCCTTGGGCAACCTGTGCCAGTGCCTCACCACCCTCTGCCTCCAAAACTTCCTCCTCACATCCAACCCAAACCTCCCCTGTCTCACTTTCAAGCCATTCCCCTTGTCCTGTCACCACCCACCCTCACACACAGCCGTTCCCCCTCCTGTTCATCCGCTCCCTTCAAGCACTGAAGGCCACCATCAGGTCTCCCTGCAGCCTTCTCTTCTCCAAGCCAAACAAGCCCAGTTCCCTCAGCCTTTCCTCACACAGAGCTGCTCCAGCCCTCTGCTCATCTCAGTGCCTCCTCTGGACCCGCTTCATGAGCTCCATGTCCTTCCTGTGCTGGGGGCCCCAGCAGGACGCAGCGCTGCAGATGGGGCCTCACAGGAGCCGATGGAGGGGACGATCACCTCCCTCTCCCTGCTGGCCGCCCCTTTCTCATGCAGCCCAGAACACATTGGCTGCATTCCGGGCTGCAGGCGCTCACTGCTGCCTCATGCCCAGCTCCTCGTCCACCAGGACCCCCAGTCCTTCTCCGCAGGGCTGCTCTCCAGGACATCTTCCCCCAGTCTGTGTCAATACCTGGCTTTGCCCCGACCCGATGCAGCACCCTGCACCTGGCCTTATTGAACCTCATGGTTCAATACAAAAGGCTGACGTGTGCTGACAAAAAGGGGCTTTGCTGCTGGGAGGGAATGCAGTGGGCAGAAGGTGGGCAGTGGTGTGTATGGAGATACTGAAGCCCTGCTGCTCCCACTGATGGGCACCAAACTGTAATGCTGAGGGTAAAAGATAAAGGGAGGAAGTGTGTATAAATAGTTCCTGGGAATCTACACAGCCACTATTTGTGGTTTAGGGGCAATGTAATTAAGTGTTGAGTAACGCTCTGCGTTTCTCTGCAGCTGAGGGCAAAGAGCAGATGCAGTTTTCAGGCCCTCAGTGCCCCAACCGTTGGCCTCCAGCTGTTCTGGGGAGCGTACACACACAGCTGGGCTAAAAACCCCACAGCAGCAAAGGGCTGAAGGCACGAGGTGCCCTTGCTGTGGGTGATGCTGCGCTTTGTCCCCAGGACAAGAAGTACACGCTGACCATGGAGGACCTGACGCCCGCCCTCGCAGAGTACGGCATCAATGTGAAGAAGCCGCACTACTTCACGTGAAGCCAGGGGCTGTTGCTGGGAACTTTTTTAGGGTTTGCTTCTGCACCATTAAACCACTGCCTAGTTTTTTTTTTGTTTTTTTTTTTTTTTTTTTTTTTTTTGTGAAAAGATCCCATTTCCTGCCCACATGCCTGCTGTCAGTGAAGCATCATTTGCCCCCTGGGGTTCTGCTCTCCCAGCACCACCAGAAGGCGATGGCTGCTGGCTGCGCAGCAGGGGAACTGCAGCCACGTCTCTCCCGGAGGGCTCAGCCTGCCCTGAGCTGCTGCAGGGATGCAGGCACCATGCAAATAGAAGTGCCCAACCTTCCTCTGTGCTTTTTTCTCCATAGCACGTCTCTTGTTTCTTAAGTGGAAGATTCTTAGGGCTGTGTGACAGCTATGGCTCCTGCAGCTGCAGCCAGGCTCCTCATGCGGCTGTGATGCCAGCCCTGCTGCCTGCTTGCCCCAGGAAGCAGAGAGGGTTTGGCACAGAGCAGCTCCAGTTCTGCAGGGCAGCCCGGTGCCAGCGCTGCCCTTTCCACAGCAGCCTGCAGAGGTATGCATGCACCCTTCAGCCCGCGGGCAGTTTTTGTAACAAATATTTATTTCAGATGCTGGCGGCTTTTCCACGTGGCCTGGATGGAAATGTTAAAAAGTGAAGCGCGAAGCTGGGGTGGTGCTGGGCACAAACAGGCAAACCTTCACCCTGCTGCCCTTAGCAGGGAAGAGCACCAGGACTGGACACTTTTAACATGAGACCGCCGTGAGGGCGAGCTGCCCCGGGCCTGGGAGCACGAGGTGGCTGCAGGGCAGCAGAGCCCCCCACGCTCAGTGCTTTCATCCAGGTGTCCTGCTCAGTCTGCCCACAGCTGCCAGGGAGGGTGGAGGTGCTGCCATCGATGGGTGCTACAGAGCCCAAAGCCTGCAGAGCGGCTCCAGGGAAGGCAGCACCATCTGTACCGTGTGTCCATGGCTGGCTCAGGGTGAGGGGGCAGCCCCTGCTCCCCCTTAGCTCTGGGGTTAAAGGCACTTGGAGGTGGGGGGGAAGGGAGCATGGCAGCGTCAGACATCGGGGAGGCGCCTCCCTCTACTTGTCCTGCATCTTCTCCAGGATGGGCACGATCATGTCGAACTTTGGGCGCTTGGCTGGGTCCTCATTCATGCAGATCTTCATCAGCTTGCAGATGTGTGGGGAGATGCCAGGTGGGATGGTTGGACGGAGCCCTTCCAGTGCCACCTGGTAGCGAGGCAGGGCAGAGCAGGATCAGGCAGCTGGACCCGGCCCTGCCTGCGCTGGGCACGTGGGGAGCTCTGGAAGGAGCCCCTCTGGGCTCTCTGTGGGGCCCCACGCGTGCTCCCCCCTGGCCCAGCTGTGCTCAGACTGGTTTGGGCACCTCCGCCCCTCACCTTCATGCCTATCTCCATGTTGGACAAGTCTGCAAACGGCACCTCACGGGTCACCAGCTCCCAGAGCAGCACCGCAAAGCTCCACATGTCCGCCGAGCGCCTGTTAATTTCCTCCGGCTTCTTCTGCAGGGCTGCGGCAAATCCAGTGCAGCACAGGGGCTGAGAAGGGCAGGGGAGAGGAAGGGGGCAAAGCAGCAGGAGGGGCCCGACTGCCTGACGCTCACCTTCAGGAGCCACCCAGGCTGGCGCGTACATCCTCCCAGGGCACTGGAAGGAGAACTTCACGTCGGCCATGCTGACCCTCGCAGTCATGTCCTCGTCAATCTGGGAAGAGAGATGCGGTCACAGCCACCCGCACAGCCCAGCCTGCGGGGCGCAGGCAGCAGCGCTCACCATGATGCTGCGGCTGTTCAGGTGGTGCCGTGGGATGAGGGGCTCCAGCGTGTGCAGGAAGGCCATGCCTCGCGCAATGTCGAAAGCAAATTTCACTGCCTGCATCTGGTCCACCACGAAGTCTGCAGGGAGGGAGGTGGCACTGGGGGTCACTGAGGAATGAGTGGCACGCGTGGGAAGGGGGCAGCGATGGCAGCACGAGGACAGGGGCGGGTAGGCTGTGAACCAGCCTGCTTGTGGCTGCCCTGCAGTCGCAGCTGGAAGAGTTGGCGCTGCTGCCCCAGTGCACAGAGGGGCAGCCCCCCAGGACAGAGAGACCGGCGCCGGCCTCAGCTGCGTCACCTCTGTTAGCACTCACTTGTCCCCTCATGTAACACATTGTAGAGGGAGCCGTAGGGCATCCAGTGGCTGATGACAATGGGATGGGGGGCAGGGGGGGACTGGCAGGCACCCAGCACTGGCAGCACGTTGGGGTGAGAGAAGATCCTGCAAGAGAAGTGAGGGTGCTGAGTGGCTGCTCGCAGCAATGCATCGTCTCTGCCCTCTCCTGTGGTGGCTGCCTTGCCCCCATCAGCCTCTGCTCACCACATGGGCTCCCATCTCAACCCCCACCGCAGGGATGACACCCACCCTCAGGGGCCTTGGCTCCTCTGGGGAGGATGCTGCCACTTACCTCAGCTTTGGGTACTCCTCATTGAAGTCTCGGCTCTTCCGAGTTGTCCAGTCCCGAATTTTCAGCATTTTGATGACAATGTCATTGCCTTGCCAGCGCCCTTTCCACAGCTGAAGGGAGACAGATGGATGTGATCGCTGTGAGGGGGGTCCCTGAGCACCCCTGAGCCTCTTGTGCAGGACGGGGATCCCGCACTGATGTGCAGTGACTGTGATGAGGTGGGAATTCACCCAGGCAGCTGCCAGCTTGCAGCTGGCCCCACACTGGGGCTTGGATGCCCATCAAGCAGCTGCACCCCTTTTGTGCTCTGTGTACAGCCAGGGGCTCTGCTGTCCCAGCAAGGAAAACAGCCTCCATACCTCTCCTGATTGGTTCTCATTGAGTTTTTGGCTCAAGCTCAGCTGTTTGTAGTCTATTCCAGCAAGTTTGTTGAGGGTCCCGTTTCCTGTAAGAAGAGAGGACTGCGTGGGACCTCCCTCCTGTCGTGGGGCTGCAGGAGGCGCAGTACCAGCACAGTGCCTGCAAAGGCACTGCAGTAAGGGGATCTCCCTTGCCCCAACGAGCCACCCAATGTGCTGTGCCAACTGCTGCCCCTCACCCCTGAATTCCACCCCACCACACAGATTTGTGCCCCCAGCAAGCAGCATGCTCTGCAGGGAAGCCTCTGTCCTTACGGGGCCGCGTGCGGGTCGTGCCCTTCCAGAAGGTGTCCTTGTAGGGGATCTTGGTCAGGTTCTGGCCCAGCTTCTCTGCACGCTCTGGAGGCAGATGAGGAGTTGGGCAGCAGAGCAGAGCTTGTGGTGCTGAGCCCTGCAGCAGCCAGAGGCAGGCTCTGGTGCAGCTGGTCCCTCTTACCTTTCAGTATCTCCCGCAGAGGCATCTTGGCTTTGTCAATGGGCGTCTCGCTGTACTTGTTGGCAATGCTGACCAAGGCCCCATTACCCACAAGGTCCTGAGGAAGGAGAAAGCGAGCACCCACAGCTGCTGCCCTTTCCTCGCCCCCTTCCTACGCACCCAGCCTCCTGCCCGCCCCTGCCCTGCACTCCCCAGTGCCACCTCTTGTGCTCCAAACTCCTGCCTGCATGCAGGCGCTGCGCTCACCTCTGCCACCGTGTCGTGTCCCCAGAAGCAGGCGTAGTGCAGAGGGGTGTTCCCGTGCTCGTTCACCGCATTGATGTCCGCTTTGAACTGGATCAGCTGCAGGCAGGACAGTCCTGGTGAACCCCGAGCGGGTCCCTTCCACCGCCCCGAGGCGGGGGGGAACGCACTCCCAGCAGGGGCTGCTGCTGGAAGGGGGCCGAGGGCTGCGAGGGGGCGGCGGGGGCAGCCAGAGGTGTGTGCAGCGAGTGCAAGGAAGGAGGCGGGGAGCAGCAGGGCAGGGCTGCTGGGCACGCCGAGGGCTGACGGCGGTACCTTCTGCACGATGTCGCGGTGGCCGTGGCTGGCCGCCAGGTGCAGCGGGGTGTCGTCGCCACGGTTCATGACGTTGATGCGCGCTCCTCGCATGATCAGCATGTCCACCACGTTGGAGCGGCCCTCGCGGCAGGCCCAGTGCAGGGGGCTGAAGCCGTGGTCATCCCTGAAGGGACAGCAGTGAGGGCTGTGCTGGGCAGCGCCTGGGCCGTACCTCAGGGGGAGCAGTGGGGAACAGCACTGGAAGAGACTCTGTACCGTCCTGCAGCTCCGCGGGCCTCTCAGCCCTCTGCTGAGCGAGGCACAGCTTTGTGCCTGAGCCGTGCTGCAGCCCCGGGTTGGGCAGGGAGCTGCGTTCTGCTCCCACTCCTCAGCCCAGATGGCTGTGAGGAGCACAGCCCAAGCGGTGCTCCTGCTCTGCCCATCCCCACGAGGGCCCTGACCACGTCCCACCTTCCTCAGGGCTGGAGCAGCAGGAGTCTGCTGAGGACCAGGCCCCCTATTCGCCCCCCCCCATCTGCTTGCAGCCGTGCCTGGCCAAGTAAGGGAGGAGGCGGCAGCAGGGCCTTAAAAGGAGATTAGGGCCCAGTAGGCGGGGATGGGGATGCTGCAGCCCCGCTGCCCCCAGCTCCAGCAGAACTGGGGCCATCCGGTGACCGCCCTGCACTGCCGGCAGTGTTCCTGTGGCACACGGCACAGTGCTGGAGCCAAACAGCCCCTAACAACCAATCCCAGCCCCACGGGTACAGCCCAGCCCTGGACAGCTCTGCAGAACGAGCATCTGCTGGGACGTGGAGCAAGGCCCACAAACAGCCTTCCCTGCACTCAGCAGAGATGCTGCTGTGGCTCGGTGCTTTCAGTGCTGGGCAGCAGGCTGTGCCCGCCCTCAGCCTCGCGTTGGGCAGTAGGAGGAATCAGCTCTGCGCAGAGAGATGGGAAGCGCTCGGGGCCACGCGGTGCCGTCGGAGCCGCTGGGGAGGGCGGGGAGGGGGTCGCGGGCTGGGCAGTGCAGCCGGGCAGCGGTGCCCCTGGGGTCAGGGGTCACGTCAGGTCACCACGTGCCGCAGCCGCTTTGGGGAGGGGCTTCGCCCAGCGCCCCCAGCCCAGCCGACGGCCAGGACAGCGACCCGCGGCCGAGAAGCGGACGGAGGACGTGCAGCCCTCATGCCTCAGCGATGCGGTAACTTCCTCCGGCGGGGAGGAGCCGCATCCCACCTCCTCCTCCGGACACGGAGCGGAAACGCGCCCCGGGCGGACCGAAGCATCCCCCGCAGCCCCCCCCCCCCGCTCACCCCTGGTTGAGGTCATTCTCGGTGTTGTCCAACCACAGACGCACGGCCACCGCGTTGCCCTCCCGGCACTGCGTGAAGATATCATCCATCGCGGCTGTCGCTGCGGGGAGCGCTGCGTAAGGGCACGGCGTTGCGCGGTCCGAGGGCCCCGCACTCCTCCCGGACGGCGGACGGCGGGGGCGGCCGCCCCGCCTGCAGCGACCGCGGCCGCCGGCAGGAAGCGGCCCGGAGCCCGCAGCGTTATCTGCAGGCCCGCACTCGGTGCCGCGTCCCGGGGGGAGCGGCGGGGAACGGCACCGGAGGAGACCGCGCACCGCCCCGCAGTTCCGCGTCCCATCGGCCCTCCGCTCCCGGCCCGGCCGAGCGCAGTACGGAGTCGATACCGGTGCCGCTCCTCGGACCCCGACGACAGCGGCCGCGCCGCCCCGGGGCCGCACCGCAGCGGGCGGGGATGGGGGCTGCGCTCAGCGGGATCCCGACGCGAGCGGCCGCGCTCTCGGGGCCTCCCGCGCCGCGCCCCGCACGCGGACCCCGCGCCCGCTG